TTTGATTCCCGTAGCAGGAAGGCCTCCGAACACAGACGAGGGCACAGTTTACTCTGAAGTCAGAAGAGGAGCTGCGGGTACGATCGGTTGCATCAGTCTATTTGTGAAATATGTCCCACGATGTCACACTGCTCAGATTATCAGCTACTTGGATTAGAATTAAAGAAAAATGACAGATGAGACGCACAGTTTGGGGAATTTTCAGGGCAATTTAATTGAGGTTGAAATTACAACCTGAATTAGGGATTATTAAACTCAATGACGACTTAAATAACAAAAGATTTATTTGCCAAGTTCAACTACTTTTTATTGTGATACAAGATTAGGCTTCATGTTTTACTTTCAACAAGTCTTTCTCCTTACAGGAGAGTGGAGTCCTGCAGTCTCAGATCAGAATCCATCCTGGATAACGGCGCTACCAGGCAGGACGTAGGGCGCGCTGAACGAATCTGCGACTCATTAATCTCAATGCACACAAGTTAAAATGCTGATCTTTATATACTTTTCAATCGCAAGTTTCTAACAGCAGCAGTTTTTAAACATGGAAAAACATGTTTTAAAGCTCGTAACTTCTGCTCGGGATCCTTGGATAGTGAAGTTGGAAAAAAAGAAATCACTTGGGACTGATTTCTCTTTTAACGAGAAATTTTTCTGTTTTATTCACAAAAATGTTTTTAACATTTAGATCAATGTTGTGCATGATAAACATGCCGTGTATGTTTTAAGATGAGCAAATTAGCAAAGTGGATACACATTCTTATTGTCAGGTTTGTGACAGTAACCTATCCATATTAAAATGGTTGATTCATTGCGTGATCATTTGCAATGGGTTTATTGTTTTGCTAATTAAAATATCTACACAACTGCCCAGCTTACACTTGAATTTGCTGTCAAATTATTGGTTGTTTATAATACCATTTACTTCAATTAACACAGAGATAAATTAGTTATATTCATGTCAATATTCGCTGAACAGTTTCATTGCTTACTAATGTGTTTGGATTTATTCTGGAAGATTTCTTGTATTTTGTTCAACCAACAGTATCTTGTTAACTCATGTGAAATGATTTGTCATCCGCACGTTTTGACTAAAAAACACAAAAACATGACGGCCATCTTTCTTCTTCCCTTCCTGATTGTTCTTTGAAAACAATTGTCGGTGTGTTTTGCCACTTAGCTCCCATGCTAGTGGACACTAATATGCATTATATAACAGCATATATGTCCTCCAAAGACATTTGATATTTTGCAACAATTGATGCAACTCAACAAAGAAGCGATGGTTAACGAATTCAATATAAGACAAGCGAATATTACACAAGCCTAGTTTATGCACTTCACCTAATGCTAACCTTAGCTGGCAAGATACGCTAGCATTCTGCAAGTGACTTTTTCACTTCATGAGACAAAAATTAGTTATTAAAAACATTTTTTTAAAAATTTGTTTCTTTTTTTTTTTTAAAAAACAACTTCTTTGTTGAAAAAATGATTCGTGTTCAGAAAGTTTGGCCGCAATTTTACATTTTTTATGTGCAGAGTTTTTTTTATGATTGGAAAATTGTGGAACAAATTTAACTTCACAGACACTCTGCAATCTCCTCGTCTCTCGGTGAAAGATCTGGACTAACGACAGATATTTAGCACAGATTAAGTGCATTTAGCATCAAACCAGATGCTTTTCCTCGACCTCACAGCCAAAACCCATGCTAGGTTAGCAGAGCTGCTAACGGCTTCTTTACGCTGAGCTAAGAAACTGAGATATGACATATTGGAAATGAGGCCAAAGGGCAAAGGAGGCTCTCATTGGAGGGGACGGATATCTGAAACCTGACACATCAGTAAATAGCTTGAGCAGAAATGTCATAAACAATTATTCCATCAACACATCAGTAACGCGTTACTCTAATCTAATGTATCAGTAACAAGTATTCTAGCCTGTTAATAATTACAATCCAATAATCAGATTATAGTTATGTACGTAGCATAATGACTGTCATTCTCTGGCAGCACACACAAGCTACCAGATTCTGATACATTTTATTGGTCAAAATGCATTGATATGTTTGATTGATAATTGATCTGGTTATGCCTCTTTCTAAAACCGAATTAAAAAGCAGCTCATAAAACAGGACTCAGCAGTTTGGCCAACAAAAATAAAATCTAAAAAAGAAATTTTGCTCTTCTTGAGCAACTCTCTACATCAGTGTAACAGTTTGATCTACAAAATAAATGAAAATTATACTTTTCACATCTAACAGAGCTTGAGCTTCTCACTGATAATAATTCAGCAACTTACCAAACATGAGCCATAAAAAACACTGAGGCAGAAAAAGCCTTTTTTTTTTTTTTTGATTTTCAGCCACAAACATTTAACTAAAATGTCTATAATATGTGTTTCTGTCTCTGATGCTCTGCAGCCTGATGTCCCTGCATGGACTCATGTGTTTACAACAGACACTACAGTAATATACAGTATCAGAATGTGAATTAACTAACTATAAAAAGCAGGTTTTTATCATATAGACTGAGAATTTAAACATCTTAACAAGTTTCAGATGCATTCAGTACGATACGTCTCCACGCAATGTACTGTGAAACCCGTTTCAAACAGCAAAACTTTTCACTCATTTATTTTCAAAACTCTCCTCAAGCCCTTTTCTTTTCATGTCTGCTAACCATTAACATTATAGTGTGGAAATGATAAGGGAAAAAAAAAACAGAAAAAAAAAAAAAAAAAGGAAGCAGCGTTATGAACGTGCTGCGGTGCGCCTTCAAAAAAATTTTCGCAACTGTGGTAAAATTATTGGGAAGAATGTGACTGTCTAAAATATTAGGGGGGACATGTCCCCCCCTCGTCCTCCCAGTTCCTACGCCTATGCAACCGGATCAGGTTAAAGATCAGTGTATGCTGCAGGTCTGACTGATATCATTGTTAGAGGATTATTCTGCGAAAAAATACATTTTCATTCTTCTTCCTTTCTCAGAAACAGACGCTGCTCAATGAAACACAGAAACTTTTTTTCACTCTCCGTACATTTTTAGATTCTTCTTAAATCTATTTAAACTCCAAGCTATTTCACAATGTCTGATCTCATATATCTATGACAGGTGAGATCATTCTCACCCAACACTTGTTTTTAGATGAAAGGGGATTTTTACGTTTTTTTTTTTTCACAGCAGAAACTCAGTGCTGTGATGTCAGTGTTTAAAATAAACGTTGCTCCGTCTTCCTCATTTAAAACGTTGATCCTGTTTCAGACGGCTCCATTTCTCTAGAGACGTTTCAGGGTCTGCATGTTATGAAAGGGAGATTTTTGGACCAAAGCAGAGCAACACAAGGTTCCAGGTTGAGGTCAGGATGAGGAACAGCTCAGCCAGTGTTCTGGTCTCACTCTGTAAGTAGATCAACTTTATCTGTGTGAATGATGCAGATTAGAAGAATGTCGTCTTTCACATCTTGTCTGCTGCAATATCTACTTTATCTTCCATTGTATTTGTTTAGCTTTATTTAGTGTAACCATTTGTTCTTGATGTGTTTGCTGCGACTTCAAACAGGTTATTTCAGTGTCAAATTAGGAACACAAACATTTTGAAAAACTGTTTCCTGTAAAATCAGACGTTAGCACAGATCTTTATATCCTATAAAAACAATGTGGAGCAATGAAAATATTATATAGCAAAGATGAAAAATGAGACATGATGTGATACAAGAGCCTCAAATGATTCATTAAAAACTTTTATCACTTTTTAACCAGTAGAGATGAGTGAAGTTTTTGTAGCTGTGCAAAACGTCTGCAGATGTTCTGTCTTCAGTCAGGATGTGAAGTTTAGAAAATGAAGTTTTAACTCATCAGAAAATCAAGTGTGAACTGAAATATTTTATCTTATTCTTATCAGAACAAATAAATACTCACTATTTTTATCATAGTTGCATTTATTTAACAGGTAAATGGAGTCAAAGCTGAGTGTGAGAGTTTGGCAAATATTTTTGATTTCATTAATTTATTATTTAATGCTGATGAACTTTAAACCTTTATTTCAGTGCTGAACACACTCCTCTGCTGTGGACGAGCTCATGGTAACTTCTGCTTTTAATCTGTATTTCAATAATTTATCCTCTCAGGAACATAATACAGTTTATATTTTATATCAGATATTATTCTGTGTTTATGTGTTAATTTTTAAATTAATATGTATTTGTTATAAATCAAAAGAGAAACGTGCTGAATGTTGGTTCTGTTACAGATCCTGTGCTGACTATTGAGCCCAAATGGTCGACTCTTTATTTTGGACAGATTGTTACATTTATCTGTCACATGAATGATGAAAGAGACGATGACTGGTTCTACCTGTTAAAAAGGAATGGGGAAGATTTGTTTCCATTTAGAGAAGATAAACGTTTCAGAGTTAAATCTCTACCTACTGGTTATAGTGGTGAATATCGTTGCTGTGGTCTGTGGAAGTGGGGTTCAACTTTCCCAAAGTGCAGTAAAACTCTCACTGTTTCTGTCTCAGGTAAGACCTGAATATTTTAAAGAATCACAAATGTTCATATGACTGTTAGCTGTAAAAAACATGCATTTTCTAATTATTTTATAATTTCGATCAGATTATTTTGTTGATAAAATAGTGTCTGAAAAGTTACACATACATAATTACTGGGTTTAATTTTTATAAAGTTAACTGAGCCACAAGTTGAAAAAAAGCAACAAAACAAAGAAAATATTATTTACCTTGATGTGAATAAATAGATTTACTTAATTGTAGAGTTAATCACATTATCTTTTCAGAAGAGAGAATGAACCCTTTTATGTTATTTAATGAAACAAATTCAAACATGTTTTTTTCTTTTTTAATTTCTAAAAAGTATCTATATAAAGAAAAGATGAAAATAAAATGCACTGACACATATTTATTGAAGCATCATTCTTTACTACAAGCTTTTAATTGCAGTTTTTTATATAAGATCAAATATTATGTTTTTGTTTTTATAATTGCAGACAATCCCAAAGCCAATCTGACAGCAGGTTCAACAACCATACCAGTAGGGGGCAATGTGACCCTGAGATGCTCAGTGAAGCCCTCTGCTGGATGGAAATACAGATGGTTCAGACGAACCGAAAACACACATGAAGTTCAACTCACTGATAAAGAAAACAGAGATATTAATGTAACACAAGGAGGAATCTACAGATGTCATGGAACGAGAGAAAATCCCTCATTCTACAGTCGTTCAAGCAACGAGAAAAACATTAAAATAATGTGTAAGTTTGTTTTTTAAGACTGTCAGAAACAACAACTATGAAATTAAATTTCTCATTTGATTTAATGTTTCTCTTCATATCTGATGTAAACAGTTTCCAACCAGGTTTTTGTGACTCGACAACCAAAAGGTTCTCATATCATCAGTGGTGAGTCGATCACTCTGACATGTGAGATCCAGGGAGGACAAACCACTAAATGGACATGTGACTGGATGAGAAACGAGTCAATAATACTGAGGACAGACAGTAAACGCTGGACTTTCATTGTCTCTGAGTCCAGCAGTGGAGACTACAAGTGTCGGTGCAGAAGAAGAGACGACTTGTTTTCTTCAACAAGGAGGAGTGAAACTATAACAGGTGATTTAATGGTTCGTTTTTTTATGAGAAGATTGTAGAACAAAATGTTTCCCTCAAATGTTGGATTCAATGAAGTTTCTTCCTTGGACAGACCAGAGTAAATCTGACTCGTCCTCATCTGAGTTATAAATTTTTAACTGTAGAACAAAAGGAGCAGTTTTTGTTCACTTCCTTTAACAAGTTACAATAATAACACCATAAGTGTTGCTATGTGCACATTGTTCCCAAAGTTGTTCTTCTAGGTATCTAAAGAATAAATCAGATGTGTGTGTGGGTGTTTTCTATGTACTCCAGATATTTAATTTGAAGTTTCATTTGAGAAATGGCACATCTGGACAACAACTGGACAACGTCTGATAATTAAACTTCAAATGACTGTAACTCCTCATTGATTCACCATACAATCATCACTGAGGCTCTAATGAAAGATAGTAACCAGAGAAATGTATTATAATTATAGACATATCAACACAATATAATAGTAGTTACAGTTTTGTGCTTTGCACAAATGAAAGTCAGAAAAATGACCTCCACCCTTATTAAACCCACCAGTAGGGAAACATCTGTCCTGTGAGTGGAACAGATGTTTTTATTGTCAACACATAGAATCACAATTTAACAACATCAAGCAAAAGCTGCAGTTTGTAATTTTATAAGCAAACTAATAAAATGTTTCATAATAAAATGAGGACCAGCATGAATTTTTCCTGGTGTTTTGTTTTTCCAGTAACTGTATCCAATCCTGTCAGCTCTTCATTTCCTGTCATGCTGATCGTTGGACCAGTCAGTGGAATCATTCTCATCGTCCTCCTGCTCTTGTTGTGTCTCTGCAGACGGTCCAAAGGCGAGAACAATTTCCTCTCATTTCATTGTCTCTGGCCTGAAATAAAGTGTTATTGAATCACATGTATTGAAATATGACTTTTGAGATACGGTTCATCAATTTAATTCTGTTGTCCATGATCTAAATGTCTTTTTTTATATTCTCCAGATTTGTGCTGCTTCAGGTCAGGATGAAATATCTGTTCTTTCATCTTTGTCATGAAACCCTTGATCTTTGTTTCATAGTTAAATTTGATCTTTAATGTTTTTTTCAGGTTATTTCAGTCTGAAAGCAGCAGCCAGAGTCCGGCCACTAATCCTGGAGAGAACCAGATTGAAAGTCATTACAGCTCCCTGCTGCATGGTGAGTCACACGACAAACATCAGTATTCATTTGGACATAACATCACTATGTTCTCAATTATTTCTTCATCATTACACAGTTATATAAACTGTATACAAATGTAAAAAAGTGTCTACTTCAAGAGTAATTCCTTTTGACAAAAAACACAACACCACAGTGTTAAAAACCTGAATATTTTGTTTGCTGAACTTAATGTTTATGTCAGAATTAATCTACAGATATTCTGGTTCTGCTGCTCAGTATTACAACATGTAATTATATTATTACCATGAGTTTGATTAATAAAACAATTCATAGTTGTAACAAACTGACAATCATCCCCATCAGAAATGAGAGGATAGCCATAGTATCCAAGAAGGTACAAAATAGATCTTATTATTTTACATAATTTCATGCAGATACCAGCTTTTCCTTTTTTTTGACATTTTTTTTCATATTTACTGGAGGCACCATGTCTGTGTATGAGACAATCCATAACCGAGGAGCCACAGGAAACGGTAACGTATAAGTACTAAAACTGCCAAGTAATTGAAGCTGACTGATTACATGTGGATCAGATCAATACTCACAGTCATATTAAACTATTCAAACATGAGGAGAATCACTAATGTATGTCTTCTATGTATCCCTGTTTCACTTTTACCAGAGAGACCTCGTGATCCAGAAGACGGCTCAGTTTACGTGAATGTGAGGCCAGATAATTACAGCTCAGCATGAAGGTCAGATAAACACCTCACTTGATTACATTGTTGCTGATCAGTTTTTCTACAATTGGGAAATTTGCCGCCACATTCAGCAGTTCTAATGAGAGTTGTGCTGTTTATTTGTGAATTCATGTCTGTATCGCATCTGTCTTTTCTTCTGTAACAGTACTTTCTTATTCTGACAATGATAACATGATGTTTTTAATTAAAGTATAACGTGGCTCCAGTTTCTGACTTAGACTTTGGTTTAGGATAAATAGTATCATCTTTCAATTAAAGTCTTTATTGTCTGGTGGGTTTATTCTACATTTTTAAAGCAGACTTTTGAAAAGTATTAAGCAGCAAATGTTTCTCATACACTTTTTCTGACATATTATATCAGCAGAAGTATTAGGTTTATTTGAAAATAAAAAATACCTTCTATGTTTACAGGAAACTGGAGTCCAGCAGCAACAGATATTCCAGTTTGTTCTCTGGTTAATAAAAGCTGTGGATAACTCTGTTGGTTTATTCTGCAAGAGTTCAACTCTTAACATTTGATTTTTGTCGTTTTATGATGTGATGATCACATTTTTGCAGCTTTACAATGTGGCACATGTATTAATGTTACATCTCTGCAATAGTCAAAAGTGTTTTACATTTGCATTTGTGTTCAAATGTTAATTAGCTAAAGATGCAAACATCTGAGGTTTGCAACATCCAGTGAGAAAAAACCAAAAGATTAAAATGACAAACTCCTTTCTTACTTATGCAACATTTGTAGCTTTTACAACTTTTCTGTTCATAATAAATAGAAAATTGTGACCCAGTTTGTATGTTGGTGCCTGTTTTTCTAGAAACGTGCAAAAGTATATAAATGTACAAATGTATAAACATGAATAAATAACATTGTCTCTACAACACAGTGATGTTATTGATGTGTTCATTAAATAGTAGGTAATGTTTCCTAATGGTCTTTATTGTCTTACTGCAGCACAAACAAATGAGAAAATGAACGATTTAACATTAATTGTAAATTAAATGTAATATTTTAATAAATCACATTTTGGATTCTGAAGGTTTACAGCCAGCAGCCAGCAGATGGCGACATTAAGTCACAGTTTTCCAAGTTATCAGTCCAGAAATGGCCGTCAGTTCAATCATGTTTAAAAAAAAAAAAGGAAAAAAAAGGCTAAGAGTTTAATAAAATTGTTTTTTATTTTCTGCTCTTTCTAGGTTCTAATTATCAGTAGGAAAATAAAACAAACACCAATGCTTTATTTTATTTTATTTTTACAATATTGTTATTTTTAGATGTAAAATTAAAACAGTTGGACATGCAGCACCTGATACAAAATCAATTGAAGTGCGAAGTAAAGAAAAGAGTGTTTTACTTTATGTCCTGATAACAACAGTGAACATTATTTCATCTGTGAATCTTCTGTCAGTGACTTGTGCTTACAGATAGTAGCCAGCAGGTGGTGCTATTAAGCACTAAATTTCTTTCAGCGTTACAGAAAAGTGCTGCTGTCCGGTGATCCATCCAGGAAGAAAACTTGTGTGTCTGCAGGATTCTGCTGCTTCACATGATCCTGCTCCATCCAGTCTGATTGGCTGGAAACGGCAGCAGAACATCTCACAAATCCATCAACAAGCTCAACATCCTCTTCCTCACTGACAACGCAGCTGCTGCCTGCAGCTGCAACAACCATGTTATTTTCGCACCAGCAACAATTCAGAGAGCCTTGAAACACATCTGATTTCTTCTGAAACTAGAATGAATGGGACAATTTTTAGTGGCAGACCCAAACTCTGAAACAATGGCCTGCAGTCTGTATCCACAAGCCTGCCACCAGAGGGCGATGCTGAGTCGTCATATCATTAAAGAGAACTTCTGCTTCTTTGGTCAACACTTCTTGAGCAGCATGCCACTGAAGATGAACTTCAGCACGTTCGCAGTTGTATTTATAGAGTTTCTGCAGGACACTCTGCAAGCTCAGTGGAAGATCTGGACTGAAGTGAAATATTTAGTATAGAAAACTGCAAATTAAGTACCATAGAAAAACAAATGCTTTTCTATGACCTCACAGCCAAAAACCATGCTGGTTTAGCAGAGCTGCTAACGGCTTTTTCATGCTAAGTTAAGAAATGAATATAAGATATATTGCACATGAGGCTAAAGTTAGGATCAGGTTAAAGGTCAGTGAATGCTACAGGTTTGACTGATATCATTGTTAGAATTACATGAAGAAAAGAAAATTTTCCATCCTTCTTCCTTTCTCACAAACAGACGCTGCTCAATGAAACACATAAACGGTTTTTCACTCTCCGTACATTTTTAGAGTTTCTTCTTAAATCTATTTAAACGCCTAACTTTTTCACAATGTCTGATCTCATGTCTGACTATCTACGCCAAAGACCTTATATATCTATGACAGGTGAGATCATTCTCACCCATCACTTGTTTTCGGAAGAAAAGGGGATTTTTACTGGTTGTTTGTCAGTGAGTTCACACGCAACACAAACCAATTAGTGCATTAAACATTTAAACTATTCGTGTGCTACAATGATCCTGCTTACAGTTTATTCAAAGTAAATTCTATTTTTTTATTAACCTTTCTGTTAAAAAAAAAGAAGAAAAAGAAAAGAAAAAAGAAGTCTGGTTCTTATTTTACCACAACTTCTCAACATTGCAACCGAAACTTCACAGCAGAAACTCAGTGCTGTGATGTCAGTGTTTAAAATAAACGTTGCTCTGTCTTCCTTATTTAAAACGTTGATCCTGTTTCAGACGGCTCCATTTCTCTAGAGACGTTTCAGGGTCTGCATGTTATGAAAGGGAGATTTTTGGACCAAAGCAGAGCAACACAAGGTTCCAGGTTGAGGTCAGGATGGGGAACAGCTCAGCCAGTGTTCTGGTCTCACTCTGTAAGTAGATCAACTTTATCTGTGTGAATGATGCAGATTAGAAGACGTCGTCTTTCACATCTTGTTTGCTGCAATATCTACTTTATCTTCCAATGTATTTTTGACGCTTTATTTAGTATAACCATTTGTTCTTGATGTGTTTGCTGCGACTTCAAACAGGTTATTTCAGTGACAAATTAGGAACACAAACATTTTGTTCTTATCAGAACAAATAAATACTCAATATTTTTATCATAGTTGCATTTATTTAACAGGTAAATTGAGTCAAAGCTGAGTGTGAGAGTTTGTCAAATATTTTTGATTTCATTAATTTATTATTTAATGCTGATGAACTTTAAACCTTTATTTCAGTGCTGAACACACTCCTCTGCTGTGGACGAGCTCATGGTAACTTCTGCTTTTAATCTGTATTTCAATAATTTATCCTCTCAGGAACATAAATTAATATGTATTTGTTATAAATCAAAGAGAAACGTGCTGAATGTTGGTTCTGTTACAGATCCTGTGCTGACTATTGAGCCAAATGGTCGACTCTTTATTTTGGACAGTTTGTTACATTTATCTGTCACATGAATGAAGGAAGAGACGATGACTGGTTGTACCAGTTAAAAGGAATGGGGAAGATTTTTTTCCATTTAGAGAAGATAAACGTTTCAGAGTTAAATCTCTACCTACTGGTTATAGTGGTGAATATCGTTGCTGTGGTCATTGGAAGTGGGGTTCATCTTTCCCAAAGTGCAGTAAAACTCTCACTGTTTCTGTCTCAGGTAAGACCTAAATATTTTAAAGAATCACAAATGTTCATATGACTGTTAGCTGTAAAAAACATGCATTTTCTAATTATTTTATAATTTCGATCAGATTATTTTGTTGATAAAATAGTGTCTGAAAAGTTACACATACATAATTACTGGGTTTAATTTTTATAAAGTTAACTGAGCCACAAGTTGAAAAAAAGCAACAAAACAAAGAAAATATTATTTACCTTGATGTGAATAAATAGATTTACTTAATTGTAGAGTTAATCACATTATCTCTTCAAAAGAGAGAATGAACCCTTTTATGTTATTTAATGAAACAAATTCAAACATGTTTTTTTCTTTTTTAATTTCTAAAAAGTATCTATAAAAAGAAAAGATGAAAATAAAATGCACTGACATATTTATTGAAACATAATTCTTTACTACAAGCTTTTAATTGAAGTTTTTATATAAGATCAAATATTATGTTTTTGTTTTTATAATTGCAGACAATCCCAAAGCCAATCTGACAGCAGGTTCAACAACCATACCAGTAGGGGGCAATGTGACCCTGAGATGCTCAGTGAAGCCCTCTGCTGGATGGAAATACAGATGGTTCAGACGAACCGAAAACACACATGAAGTTCAATTCACTGATGAAGAAAACAGAGATATTAATGTAACACAAGGAGGAATCTACAGATGTCATGGAACGAGAGAAAATCCCTCATTCTACAGTCGTTCAAGCAACGAGAAAAACATTAAAATAATGTGTAAGTTTGTTTTTTAAGACTGTCAGAAACAACAACTATGAAATTAAATTTCTCATTTGATTTAATGTTTCTCTTCATATCTAATGTAAACAGTTTCCAACCAGGTTTTTGTGACTCGACAACCAAACTGGCCTCATATCTTCAGTGGTGAGTCGATCACTCTGACATGTGAGATCCAGGAGGACAAACCACTGAGTGGACGTGTGACTGGATGAGAAACGAGTCAATAATACTGAGGACAGACAGTAAAGACTGGACTTTCATTGTCTCTGAGTCCAGCAGTGGAGACTACAAGTGTCAGTGCAGAAGAAGAGACGACTTGTTTTCTTCAACAAGGTGGAGTGAAACTATAACAGGTGATTTAATGGTTTGTTTTATTTAATTGGTTTTTTTTTACTAATTGTAAATGGTAAATGATAATGGTAACAGCTATATGCACCTGGTCCCAGAAGTGTTTTTTGTGTGTTTGTTTTTTCATAAAACACACAACTCCTATGAGTTAATAAATAGTTTATTACTGAGTATTTTAGTCAGAGTGCACGTTAAAGTGACTTTTTGGTGAGCTTAGATTACTCAGATCGTTGTTGTGACATCAGTTTGGATGCAACCTGGTCTGAGCTGTGAGGATAGATCAACAATTTCTTCACAGAAATTTGGTACAACATCCTAACTTCTGCTGTTTGAACGGATTGACTGGATGCAGCGGGATATTTTTTTTAAGTAACATTAATGTCCACTCAAATCCATTTTAGTTTCAAACAGAAATTACACCTTTTCTCAACGGTGCTTCAAACTTTCAATGGTCTGATCAAACAATGAATTTATCAAATAAGTCTGAAAAACATAAAAGGAATGACAAGGTTATTTGTTCATAAAATATTTCATAATTTATGTGTTTAAAGATTGAAATATATTTTTTTCAGATGAATAAAGTCTGTTTCCACTTCATGTTTCTTATTTCCAGTAACTGTGTCCAGTTCTTCACATCTTGTGCTGCTGATCGTTGGACCAGTTGTTGGATTTATTTTCGTTATTCTCCTCATCCTGCTGTGCTTCTGCAGACGGTCCAAGGGTGAAGCCTTTCTTTTTATTTTATTTTATTTTTTGCTCAACTAACTAAGTACACAAATTTGCTTTGATTTTATCATACAAAGAAAGAAGAAAGATTTCTCAGTTAATGTAATGGCAAATCTCTTTTTCACAGGTTTATTTTGCTCCAGGTTAGTTCCTCACATTTTAATTTATTTGTATTAATAACAGTTTTTTTTTCTGATTTATGTATTAAATTGACTGACTATTTTCTAGCAGAACTGATGGAGTCGACCAGGCTGGCGGTCATGAATACAGCTCTCCTCTTCAGGGTTAGAACCTCAACAAGTTTTTAGTGAATGAAAATTAGTGCTTATATTGTGTTTCCATTGTTCTTAGACTTTTATTTCTTTTATGTTATTTCTATGATCTTATACTTATATGTTGATATAGAATCTTGTTTCATTTTTACATGAAACAAAACATGTTTGGCGATGAAAAAATAAGCAAATATATGATTAAAAAACAATAGTAAAATAAATTAATTGTCTGGTAAATATAGGGGTTTTATAATCGGCTTCTTTGGTTTAGATCCTCACTTATAAGCAGCTCAAAGTCCAACAACTGTGTTATTTAACGAGGATCTGTGACTGATAAATAATTCATGTGTTTGAGCTGCAGATAAACTCAAAATGAACGGAAATACTTTGAGTTAAATAATTATTTCCAAACACAAACAACTTACAACATCACCAAATAGCCGACACTGGTTTTAGATTTTTGATTTTGATTTTATTTATTATGAGATAATCTCACTATGAAGGCCTCGAGAACCAGAGGGTGGCGCTGTCTCTTTGAAAGAGACAACAGGTTTTGTTCAGAAGCAAATCCTCAGGGAGTTGGATTTGAAATCATGCTACGCCACAGTTATCATCACCAGTAGAAAACGACACAGTATTGAAGATTTTTAGTTTGTCTGATTGATGATTTCAATGTTTTCTGTTGTAGAGGTCACTCCAACATATGCTGAGATCAACCACAAGGCTAAAGCCAAAAGAAAGAATAAAGGTAAAGACATATTGTTGTAGCGTTGTTGTTGTTGTTGTGTATCATCATAACTAACGTGCATCATCATTGTCTTGTTGACAGAAAGGCAAAGTCCTGCAGCCACAGATAAAACGGTTTATTCTGGCATCAGGTCAGGAGCAGCTCTGGACGTCGACTCTGCCATGTAGGCTGTAGGATGTTTTGGTTTATAACAGGATTTATGATGTGAATTAAGTTCATAACATTCTTATGTGCTCTGGTTACACGTCTTCAAAAAACCTGTTACAGCTGAATGAACAAATATTGTCTGAAACTGAAGTAGGTAAAAGAAATATCAGACACACTCTGCAGTGTGAACAGAAATGCTTTGCAAAATCCGGTGCAACTCCGGTATGATGTAGATATTTTTTAATCTAATTGACCTGGAGATCCAGGCTGCTGCCAATATTTTGAATTTGGTCCGTTGCTGTTTCATATCCTCCATCAGTTTTATTTTTTCTTTTTGCTTTACTAACTTTTATAACGTCAGGTTCGGTTTTAAAAGAGTGACGGCACCCTGCATACTAAATTCACTTTTGAGCTGAAGCAAAATAGTCTTTAAAAAATCAAATATTCTCTCACACTTTTCAATTGTTAACTTGTAAATATAAAACTCTTGTCTGATTTTTTGCAATATCACGTTTGCCTTTATGACACAAGCAATGCTGTTGATTTGTATTTTTATTTCATTTGTTGTAGCTTTTTAAACATGTATTTGTTAAAAATAACCTGTTATGTATCAAATATACATAACTCGATTTAAAATGTAAAATTGAAGCGAGTGGACTGCCCACTAAAAACTTACAGTTACATTCATGTGTATTATGCTTCTCAACTTCTACTTTGCAGCTGAATGTGCAGCCAGAAGTTTGGACATCATGTTTTTATATGTAATCATTGCTCTTTTTACCTTCATTTTTATAATAAACTTTGTTATTGAAATGCAAAATAATCTGTTTATTTCCCAGATAAAGTTATATTTTTCTCTTCTGTAGGTTTACTTTAAACATCATTAAATGGCCCACACTGCGGTACAAATACAAAACAAAAAAATCACAAATAATAAGTGGCAGATCATTTCAACTTGTTTCAGGTATTTACTGCTGAGTAGATGAGACACAGAAACAAATCCTGCCACAAAAGATGAGAATAACTTATACACTGGCGCCTCAGTGAAACAACTACAAATTAAACAGATATGTATCTTTCTGGGGTTCCTACCTAATTGGTGCTCCTACAGCAGATGTAGAGGTTACTTGATTAAAATTTGAGAAGGACAGGGCTTTTAAGACAAGAACAGTCAATGGATCATCTTTTGTTTTTTCCCACATGTTCATCTACTTTAACCCATTTAATCACAATTTTTTCCATGCATGCATTTCAAGCCTTAGACCTCCCTAACATGCAATATTCATGGATTATTGCGTCTATGTAGGCTTTATAGTCTAATTTACACAGATCTGATCTGTTTACACTATAAATCTAAGAAAAAACAGTACATCTGGATGACATAGTTTCAATGTGCCAAGTGACCTTTAACCTCATTTGGTCATTTCACCAATGGGGTTAAGTCAGGTGAAAATGTTATCATGCATATTTATGCATCCTGCTTAGTCTCGGTTCCCTCAGACTAAGCTTTTCAACAAGTAAATGACTCTGAAAATGTTTTCCCAGATCAGATGGTCCAATATTGAGGGCATCAAACACAAGAACCCCACTGCAGCCTCCAAACAGCTCAGAGAGCACATTGTTAGCTTGTTATCAGCTTGAGTCAAAGTGGACTGTGTAGCTTCTGGTATATTGTCCTTTGGTTGGATGAGCTCATAGGACAAATGTTTCATCGTAGTACACAGCACCATGTTTGGGAAAAACCAGACACAGTGTATCAGTGGTTTGCCACAGATTGTAAGTTCCTCTGTGAACCACAGTTTTCCATCTGTCTATATCTATAAAACATGAAATCTGCTTTGTTTTTGTCTCATCTTCTACCTCTTCTCAAAGAAACGTCTGTGTTTCCCGCTGTCTGTTGTTAGTTTAAATTATCAGTACCTCAACTTATATTAATTAATGATAATGTCTAGCACACTAAACTTGGGAACTGAAACCAGGCGCTCCGTCTTTCTTTAACCACACCTTCTCGTCACTGGACAGGAAGCATCAGTGGCGTGAGGTGGGTGTTTAGAATCAAAGCGGACAAAATTTTATATTGTTATGAAGGAAACATCCTGACTCCCGCTGCTCTTTGTCTCTACAGACATTACAAACTAGCCTCTTCTGAAAAACCAAGGAGAAAGCAGAACGGCATTGTTTGGTCTGAATTTCAAAACGGGGAAGACGATGCGTTACGCATTGGACTTATTGTGTAAGTAGATCACTTTTTTTGTTTTGATAGGAAAAAAATTAAAGGGAGAAAGTGGATGTTGGATTTCAGAAATCTACTCCTCAATTATTAACGTCAACAATTTCCCTTGTGCTGCCATTCCAGTTGTCTTTTTAGCGTGAAGTGTTTATTAATTAATGTTACCTGTGCTCTGTTTTCACAATAAACTGGAATTTAACAAAATTTTATAGATTTTTAGAGGTAGCATTGTCAACCTGGCTGCAAAGATTTTAATCAACAAACAAACAAAAGTAATGAAAAATGTGACATGAAGCGAAGGGTGAGATGTATTACTCGGAATAAATATATTTTTAAGTAGCAGTGGGAGTGAATTTCCAGAAGCTGTGCAGGATATTTTGAGATCTTCTCTGACTCATAATCAAGATGTGAAATTTCTCAGGAAAATGCAGAAGTTTGTGATGATCTCATCAGCCAGAAAAAAAGAAAAGAAAGCTTAACCATCTGATGTCATGCTGATGAACAAAAAAGAGAGACCTTCTACATAATCAGCAACTTGTTTGTCTCTTTAATGTTCACATAATTTTAATTTCTTCTTAGTACTGAACATGCTCTGCTGGGGTGGACAAGCTCAAGGTAAGTCAGTATCCCTTGTTCGCATTTTTTCATGTCACACTGAGATCTCACTGCTCCATTAGTGAACGTTTACACGTGTTAAATGTTTGTGTTGTAGATGTTGTGCTGACAACTGAGCCCAACTGGTCCACGTTTTATTTGGGAGAGTCTGTTACCTTCAGATGTTACGTGAACGGAGGAGAAGAGACGAACTGGGAATACAAAATCACCAGGAGGAGTGAAGATACTTTTGCCTACGACTTACAGAAAAGCTACACGCTAGAAGACCTGAAGATCACTGAATTCCAGTGCTCTGCTCGCAGGAGAGGAGTCTATAAAAAGAGCAAAACTATCTATTTGATTGTTTTAGGTAAGGTTAAAGGGATTTTTTACATCTTATCATTGGTTATTACCATTTTTACAATTACATAAAGAAAACATTTTGTAATGTAATGCACTTAAATTCTTATTTTCTGGCTGGAAAGAGAAAATCAATTGACAATGTTGGATTTTCCTTGTGCTGCGCAGTTGGTACCACTGTTGCCTTGCAGCAAGAAGGTCCTGGGTTCAAATTCCCGGCTTCACACCAGTAGTAGGGTCTTTGCATGTTCTCCCTGTGCATGTGTGGGTTTTTTTCCAGGTTCTTTGTCTTCCTCCCAAAACCTGACTGCTAGGTTAATTGGTCTCTCTAAATTATCTCTCTTGTCTCCACTGGGGACAAAAGTGTTAGAAAATGAATGGATGGATTTTCCGCCACCTTGTGGTGTCAGTGAAGTAGTGCATAAACACAACAGAAACAGACGAACAGAAGCATAAATGACCATCAGTTGTTATTTGTTAGTTTAAACGTAACACTGGGTTCATTTACAAGGCGAATAAATCTGTAAAAATTACACATGTTTACTGTGAGAGCTTGGATAAGCAGTTGCTGTTCTTGTTTAATTGTATTATTTCTTGGGATCTGGAGAACATATTTTTTTTCTATTAATTTTCATAAGGGAAGTTAAATCAGTACATTCTGCCACCCATTGCTTTGTTAATGTGTAACTAACTTGATCGAGATATGTCGTAAAATGTTAGAAGACATTTAAAATAAATAAATAAAATGTACTATTTTTTGATTCGTTGTTTTTCAAAACAGCGGAGAAACCCAGAGCTACGCTGACAGCAGGTCCAACAACCATACCAGTAGGGGGCAGTGTGACACTGAGATGCTTGATAGAGAGCTCCGTTGGATGGAAATACAGATGGTTCAGACTGATTTCAGGCACCTCTCTGAAGAGATCAGCACAGGTCATGAAGAAAACAGAGCCATCACTGTGAAACAAGGAGGAATCTACTGGTGTGAAGGACAGAGAGAAAAACCACCATTCTACAGCCGACCCAGCCACGACGTCACCGTTAAAAAAACTTGTGAGTTTTGTGTCTTGAAAGCAGTTACAAAACTGTAAGAAATTAAGTCAACTTAATCTACTTAAGCAATGCTTCTCATGTGATTTTATGTTTTTGTTCAGACACAACTAATATTATTATTCTGTAAACAGTATCCAACAAGGTTGTAGTGTCCTGCCAGCCAAACGGCCCCCATATCATCATTGGTGAGACGATCACTCTGACATGTGAGGTCCAGGGAGGAGAAACCGCTGCGTGGGTTTGTGACTGGAGGAGATCTGGGTCATTCATACACAGGACAAGCAGTAAAGACTGGACTTTCAGAGTCTCTGAGTCCAGCAGTGGAGACTACATGTGTCATTGCAGGAGAAGAGATGACTGGTATGCTTTGACAAGGTGGAGTGAAAATATCACACTGTCTGTATCAGGTAAGTTAGGTTTGTTGTTGTTGTTGTTTTTTTACCTCTAAAATAAAAAAAAAGAAACTAATTCAATATCTAACAGCATTTTGAAAATCTTGTTCAAAAGTGGCCAAAACCAGAAAATGGATGAATATTTTCTTAAATGTTAATTGATACTGTATAATTCTTACACATGCTAATCTGTCAAAAACATTTGATTTGGGTTTTTTCATGGAAACTGAATGTACTCAATTAAATTTTCTCACATGACTTCTTGTTTCGCTTCATATTTCATGTAAACAGTTTCCAAGAAGGTTTTTGTGACTCGACAACCAAACTGGCCTCAGATATTCAGTGGTGAGTGGATCACTCTGACATGTGAGATCCAGGGAGGAGAAACACTGAGTGGACGTGTGACTGGAGGAGAGACGGGTCGGTTATCCTCAGGACAGACAGTAAAGCCTGGACTTTTAGAGTCTCTGAGTCCAGCAGTGGATGTTACATGTGTCAATGTAGAAGAAGAGACGACTGGTTTTCTTCAACAAGGTGGAGTGAAACTATCAAACTGTCTGTTGCAGGTAAGTTATGTTTGTTAGAGCTGTAGAGCTGCCATGAAAAACAAGGTTGCTTGTAAAAAATAAAATAAGATCTTCTTAAGACCTTCCTACTTCTGTAAGTGTAAGTGTTTTCCACACAGACTGTGTTGGGGAAACTCCTGCACCAATCTGGATGTTGGCAAACCTCTATCTTAATTGTGGCGAGCCAATGAAAGGTGGACTTGCTGGTGGACTTTGGATTATTGCATAAGCCAAATAGACTTGAGCTTGATGTCAAAAACTGATGATCAGATCTTCTGCCTTTCTGCAAGTTAGCCAGGTTCTGGACTAACAATCCAGCCTGAGACAATTACTGTCATCATCATGGTGGCTTTGCATGACGTTCTTTATCCAAAATGTTGTGTTAGGTGTACTTCAAATGTAACTGGAAACATTCTAATAGATAAGAGGACGTTCTAAAAATCTGTTTCTTCAGCAAATTTGAGATAGTCATTTACTCTCTTTGAGGCGTTCTTTGTTTTTTATATTTCCCTGAAAGATGCTTTGAAAATAAAATGTGCTTCCCTGTGTATTTATTTATTTGTTGTCAGTAGTGTATTTGGTCTCAGAACTCTTTCATATATGCTATTTATTTCTCTTTAATCACAGGTAGACCAAAGGTCCAGTTGAGTGCCAACAGCCTGGAGATACCAAGCAGAGTAACTCTGACCTGCTCAGTGACTCCATCATCTATTGGCTGGAAATATTACTGGTACAGAGATGAGAAACCTGATGAACCTCTGATGACACAAGAACCCGTTTTCTCTCCAAATGAACAGATGGGTGTCTCAGAGAAAAGCCTGCACTGGTGCAGAGGAGGAAGAGGAGAACCAGTGTACTACACAGACTACAGCGATCCAATCACAATCAGTAGTAATGGTGAGTTTAACTAGGCTTTGTTTCTAATACAGAGTCAAAAATGATACTGTCTGTTTTATTGTATTAAATAGTTTCCAAAACAAATTAATGTTTTTTTTTTTAATAAAGAAAATCATAACTTAACAAGTCCATGTTAATCCCGTTAAATTAAAAGTAAATTTGTTTATTGTGTTTTTATCTGCATCTTCTCGTACAACCTTTGAGAGGAACACGACAAATACTGGGGATGATTATGAAGTTTATGATGTTTTGTTTTTCCAGTAACTGTATCCAATCCTGTCAGCTTTTCAATTCATGTGATGTTGATCGTTGGACCAGTTAGTGGAGTGGTTCTCATTGTCCTTCTGCTATTGTGGCGGCGTCACAGATGGTCCATGGGTGAGAGCTTTTTCTTCTCATCTTATTGCTTCTTAATTCTTCCGTACATGTGAGTTTTGAAATCGAGTCAATCAATGTAAGTCTGTAGTCAATGATCCAAATTGCTTTGTCTTCTTCCTCAGATTTGTGCAGCATCAGGTGAGTATATAATATCTACACTCTCTCATCTCAGTCGCAAACTTTTCTTTCTTTCATAGTTAAATTTGATCCACTTTAATGTTTTTAGGTTATTTCAGTCTGAAAGCAGCAGTCAGAGTCCAGCCACTAATCCTGGAGGGAACCAGATTGAAAGTCATTACAGCTCCCTGCTGCACGGTTAGTCACACAATAAACATAGCTTTACTTTGTTGTAACTTTTTAATGCAGTTTCATAAAATGTGTAAAAATGAGCTAAATGTCGATGTGAAAATCAATTGTCACAACCATAACTGCAGAATGAGCATTGCACATAAACATGTATAACTTTAATCAGATTATTTCTTTGACGTTTTTATTTATTGCAGGCACCACGTCTGTGTATGAGACAGTCCATAACCGACCGCCGCAGGAAACGGTAACGTATATGTACTAGTAAAATTCTCAGGAGATTTTGAAACACTAATTTATGTTTTCTATGTGTTCTTGGCAATTTCAACAGAGAATCTTCCTGATCCAGAAGAAGGTTCTGTTTATGTCAATGTGAGACCAGATAATTACAGCTCAGCATGAAGGTCAGATAAATTCCTGCCTTGGTTGTTGTCACTTATATTTTTCAATTATTCGTACGTGATTAAGTGGAGGTTAATCATAAACATCCTCGTTTATATACTTTACTTGAAGCTATATTATTGTGTCATGAAGTCATGACTGTAGGCCATTTGTCTTTGTTCTCTAAAAACACTTTCTCATTCTGACAATGATAACTATTCAGTTTTTTTATTTTATTATTATTATTATTACAGTATCATGTGACTCTGGTTTCTGACTTAAAGAGTGTGAGTCTGTTACCCAGCAGGTTTCTTTTGAATATTTAAAGTGCACTCTTCATTTGTTTCAATCAGCAACTGTTTCTAATACACATTTTTTGAGGAGTTACAGAAAGTATTAGGAAGCCTTGTGACACATATGATCTGTGTTTGCAGGAAACTGGAGTCCAGCAGCAACAGATGCTCCAGTTTTTATTCTCAGATCAGGAAAAGTTGTGGACAACACTGCCGCCCCGCAGGCTGCTGCGTTATTCTGCAAGTCTTTGACTCATCTGATGTGTCATATTTTCATTATTTGTTGTGCTGATTATTGTATTTCCCCAGATTTAAGATGCAAAAGATGTTGATATGGCTCATATGTTATAGATAAGTAAAAAAAAAATCCATAATTTATTTTTTAATAATATTTTCATTAGTTTTATGTTTTCACAAGCAGAGAAAATAGAACATTGCACACTGTGTTGTCTATCACCTTATATAAGTTTGTGATAAAGAAGAAAAACAAAAGAAAAAAAACAACAAATAACAAAGTTTGGAAGATTCTAGTAAGATAAAACAAAATATAAACATCACCATTGTTACCCATACAGCAGCATTTGAGGCTTTCACACTTTTGCTGTGTTTGTAATAAATAGCAGACTGCAGCACAGTTTGACTATTGGTGCCTGTTTTCAATGAAACGTGCATGAGGTACAAAATGTACAAATGTGTAAAACATGAATAAATAGAGTAGTTTCAACGATTCATGGACACAGTTGGTGTTCAGGTTGTGCTCTGATTGCTGCTTTGGTGCCAATGAATGCTAAAGTATGAGAGTGAGGCCTGTGGAGCATTTCCCAGAAACCCATCAATCAGAAGACCTGCAGACTAGTGAAATGTGTTTCAGCCCAAATACATTTGAACCACACATACGTTTAGATCTCATGTTTTAATGGGCTAACGTGTTTTTAGACCATAATGAGAAGAGCTTATGAGAGCGTGACTCCAGAGAAAAGCTCTTCACACTAGAGACACAGTTGCCCCAAATGTGGGGCTTTTCCCCCCCATTATACTCCACACCCTGCCAGACAAGACAAGTTTAAAAGAGGGGATAAAAGAAAGATTGTTTAGACTAAAAACTTTCTTTCATAGTTTAAAATTTGTTTGTACTCTTTGACCTGTTAGTATAATCCAGTGGTATTCCAGGTCTGTTAGAAACAGGAAGGCCCCATATTTGGACTGTGTGAAGGTAATGCGCAGAGCAGCATGACGATCTTGTCTTCCTGTTTGCTGCAGCTCAAACTGTTTGTTGTTTTATGTTATTCATTACCATCTTTGTTAGTTTAAAGGTTTTGGGGAAGCATTGCCTATTCACACATTAAGGTATTTTATTAATTTCACTATTTCTGTAATATTTTTTGCTATTTTTTTGCACTTCCACACTCACCCTGGTGTTTTCGTTGGGCCGTAAGCGCTGAATCTAAAGAGCACAAGTTGTTCTCACGCTGAACCTTTTTGAGCTTTTTGCACCTTTCTAAATGCAGAACTACTTCACATCTTTCCCAGTGTCACTGATCTCTTATCTGCCTCTGTTCCCACCTATGGTCTTGTGTGAGATCATTCTGTCACTTGTATTTAGAGACTAAAGACAACTATAAAAATAGTCCCCTGGTTGGTTTCCCATGCTCTAGAAACCACATGCTGCTTTAGCTCGAAACAACTAATTCGACTTTATTTAAATGTTGCAATTGAATCTGTTGAAAAAAGGGGAAAATTGTTGATGTTTTCGCTTCCAGTCGTTTCTGGAGTGAGAGATTCATTTCAAATAAACGGTCAGAAGATTAAAAAAAAACAAGCAAAAAAAAAAACAGAATCTTTAAACACTTATGCAAGCTTTATAAAATTGAATTTCTTCAAAGTCCAAAAGAAGAACCTGCTTACGTTTAATATCTGTGTCCACTTTTATTCATTCACTTATTGCCACTGATGCGTGAAACGTTTGTCTTATTTTAACCCGACCTTCTCGTCAGTGGACAGGAAAAGTCCCGGCGGTTTGTAGCAGAAACGCAGTACACAGTGATGTCAATGTCAGTAAATGAAGACCTTGTGACCTCAGTCTGAGGATTTAAGTCTGAGGTGATCTGTTTATTTAAAGCATTTGGAGCTTGTCTCCTCATTAAAGAAAAATAAAATTGACCAAAGAGGTAAAACCGGCATGACGCGAAGATGAGCAGCATCTCGGTTTCTGTGCTGGGCTCCTTGTGTAAGTAATTACCTTTTGTGTTTGGATGGTGAAAATAGAGCAAAATATTTCAAACAAATTAAGATTATTTAATTACAAAAGCAAGCTTTCTATTGCACCTCTTTCCTGTTGTCATAGTTTCCTTTCTAATTTAAATATTTGATCATCCACTGATTTCATCATCACAGCAACACGGCAATTTGATCCAAAAGGTGCTGATTATTACAAACGGCACAAACTTGTAAACTAAATATGGTGTGAATTTTGCGTTGGAAGCCTGAAAATGTTTCGTCATCAGACTCAAAGTCAGGGTGTCAAGTATTCAAAGTGCAGTTTAGGCTCGTAATTCACAAAACTTAACTAACTGTGGCTTTTTCTGACAGAACAAAAATAATCCTGAATGTTGTCTTCAAAAGAAATGGATGCATTTTTTAAACAGAACAACAGAGTCAATGGTGAATTTGTGGATGGGACAGACTTTTATTTTATCTTAACTTCTGTCATGTTTAATATTGATAATGCCAATAAGATATCAACCTTTATTTCAGTGCTGAGAACATTTCTCTGCTATGGACAAACTCAAGGTAGCTGGACAGCTTTTAACCTTTTTTCCAATAATGTACCTCCATTTTTTTTCTTTATCATATTCTGTTATTTATCTATTTTGTTTCCATTAACAGCAGACAGACCCATGGCCACACTGAGAGTAGGTTCAACAACCATACCAATAGGGGGCAGTGTGACACTGAGCTGCTCAGTGGAGCCCTCTGCTGGATGGAAATACAGATTGTTCAGACAGACCTCAGACACACCTGAAGTTCAGGTGAGAACAAATAATGAGGGAAACAGAGACATCACTGTGACACGAGGAGGAATCTACAGGTGTGAAGGAGAGAGAGGAAGAGCAGAATCCTACAGTGGATCAAGTGACGAGGTCACCGTCCATATAAGCTGTAAGGTTTCATCAATCATTTGATCTACTCTGTAAATTTGTATATTTTTCTTGAACTGAAACAGTTAATGTATTTTTTTAATGGTTCTGTTTGTTTTCCTACTGTTCATATGTGATGGAAACAGTTTCCAATGAGGTTGTTGCAACTCGACGACCAAACTGGCCTCAGATGTTCAGCGGCGAGACGATCACTCTGACATGTGAGGTGCAGGGAGGAGAAACCACTGAGTGGACGTGTGACTGGAGGAGATCTGGGTTGGCGTCTCACAGGGCATATGGTAAAGTCTGGACTCTCAGGCTCTCTGACTCCAGCGGTGGAGACTACATGTGTCGTTGCAGGAGAAGAGACGACTGGTATTCTTCAACGAAGTGGAGTGAAGCCATCACACTGTTTGTGTCAGGTGAGTTATGTTTTTTGTTGGTTTTTGAGAGTTGGGTTGAAGCAAAAGCAAGCAAAACCAGAGAGGAGCAGGGGACCTCCAGGACTGTATCAAGCAAGTAATTTTTTTAAATGCTCTGACAGTCGATCTGAAGCAAATCTAAACCACTATTTACTGCTGCCCTACCAGCAGGGGGCTCCAGGAGAGCTTACTGTTGCTGAAGACATATCTAATAAACAAAACAAAAAGACTTTATATCTTATATAGTGTAGTCCCCTATAAAATAAAAACATGAAGCTTGTTTAAAAGAAAGATTAAAGCAAGCAGATGTAGATTTTTCTATTTTATCAATTTGAAATATTCATGAGATGTTGCTCAGAGGATTTTAACTATGTAGTTTCAGCTCATGTCTGACACTCTCTATCTACACAAAACAATCACACATGATTCCATCTCACCCTCCCAAACTTAAATCAAACCCTCTCCATCACATAATTCCCACAATTATGTCATGTTCTGAAAACTTACAAAGTACAATCCTGTGTGCTGGTACGTTTTTCAGTACCTTTGAGGTTTTTCTTATTTTCTTTTTTGTCAACTAGTCACCTTTCGCCAGTAACTCTTCATAATTACATAATGTAAGCCACATTATGTTTTGGGTTGTGACCTGCCTTTACCAAAATGTCTTTTTCTTGGCAGCTTTTAACAGAGTCTCAAAAAGCCCAGGCAGTTGCTCATCTTGGCCCAGTGGCTGAAGCTGCACAAGAAAATCCTCAGCTTTTACTCTCTTAGCGGTTTTGTACATATTGACTTAGTCTGATAGAAACATAATTTAACAACAAAGGTTTATTATAGAGTTTACCAATTTCCCTTTCTATCATCTACAGACAAACCCACAGCCAAACTGATGGTAGGTCCAACAACCATACCAGTAGGGGGCAGTGTGACCTTGAGCTGCTCAGTGGAGCCCTCTGCTGGATGGAAATACAGATTGTTCAGTTGGCCCTCACACACACATGGAGTCCAAGTCAGAACTAACAATGAGGAAAACAAATATTTCACTGTGGCACAAGGAGGACTCTACAGGTGTGAAGGAGAGAGAGGAAATCCTAAATTCTACACTGAATCAAGTGATGATGTCACTATCCAGATAAGCTGTAAGTTTCATTATCTTTTTGCCCCATTGGCTTTAACACTGTTTGGTTTATGATGCTAGATGGGGACGTTGTTAGCACCTGACACAATCAGGTTGCGGATTTGAATCCCAGCCTGAGACCTTTGCAGGTAGATTTTACACGTTGCTACGTCCATGTGTGCATCTTTCCAGGTACTCTAGTTTCCTCTCGCAGTCCAAAAATCTGACTGTTGAGGAACAACATTCAGTCTCTACGCTCCAATCTGGAACAAACTCCCAGAAAACTGCAAAGATGTTGAAACATTGAGTTTCTTTAAATCAAGGCTAAAACTCCACCTGTATAAAGTTGCCTTTTGCTCAAAATAACTGGAACATTGATCAATATAATTGCATATTTGTCCTATAATTTTTGACCATGACATCTAATGTACTTTAATGTTTGTTGGTGTTTACTGAATGATGTTTGTGTAAATCACTTTGAACTTCCTTGTTTCTGAAATATGCCATTCAATCAAAACTTGACTTGACACAGGCTAAATTACTTTTAACTTTAATATGTGTGCACTTCAAGGTGACAGGTGTTAAAACATTGATAGGTTTTAAAACATTAAATGTTGTTTTTATCAATGTTTCTCTTCTTATCTGATGGAAACAGTTTCCAACGAGGTTTTCGTGGCTCGACAACCAAACTGGCCTCAGATGTTCAGTGGTGAGTTGATCACTCTGGCATGTGAGGTCCAGGGAGGAGAAACCACTGAGTGGACGTGTGAATGGATGAGATCTGCGTCGGTCATACAGAGGACAGACAGTAAAGACTGGACTTTCATTGTGTCTGAGTCCAGCAGTGGAGACTACACGTGTCAGTGTAGACCCAGAGATGATGGGCTTTCTTTAACACGATGGAGTGAAGCCATCACACTGTCTGTATCAGGTGAGTCATCAATGTTTTGTCTAATCTGTGGGAAATTGCTCCCCTATATCTGTCGAGTAAAAAAACCACACAAAATTATATGTTATTTCTCTGTACATACATTTGCTATTGCTTTCTGACAGAAATAGGACCAGGAACAGCAAGTCTCAGAACTTTTAACCAAAGTTTGATGTTTAGTAAATGAGACTTTTGTCATTTTCTTTATCGTGAATTCACCAACAGGTAACCAAAGGCCGATTGATTAGTAATAGCAGAGAGATACCAACAGGAGGCAGAGTGACTCTGACCTGTACAGTGGACTCATCGTCAACCGGTTGGAAATATTTCTGGTACAACGAGCAAAACTTCACAGATCCTCTGACCCGAAAAGAAACTGTTTTCCCTTCAAATGGACAAATGAGTGTCTCAGAGGAAGGACTGTACTGGTGCAGAGGACGAAGAGGAAAACCAGTTTACTACACGGACTACAGTGACACAGTCAGCATCACTAAGAATGGTGACTCATTTCTGATGCAAATTTTAAAAAATAAATCAATCAAAAAGTAAATAAATTATGTGTTAATGTCGTTGTGTTGTCACCAGTGATGGAGCATCACAATCAGCATCAGATTTAAACTCTCATAGATCAAATCCTTTCACAATGTGCACTTGAGACAAACGTTTGAAATTTTAATATTTTAATATCTTATTTATTATTTAAAGCATTTAGAAAGGAGCAAGGTAATAATTTAATGCACTGGTGTGTTCAAATTGAAAGTAACACTTTTCTGGAATAGAGAGAATGACTTTGGAAAATCTGCAGCTAACTTGCCGATTTATTTTTTATGTTTCTTATTTCCAGTAACTGTGTCCAGTCCGGCCAGCTCTTCATTTCCTGATGTTTATCATTGGACCACTTGTTGGAATCATCCTCATCATTCTCCTCCTCTTGTTGTGGCGTTACAGACTGTCAAAGGGTGAGATACGTTTCATCAGATTGGTTCTTAACGTTGTTAATTAATCGAACGCAATTAGTATTTTTAGCTTTGAAATGCAAAACATAAATTGTAACAATTATGCTTTTTTTGTTTTTTAACTTTCCCAGATTTGTCCTGTCTTAGGTCAGTAACATCTGGCTTCTCATCTAAAACATGGATCATTAATTATTTCTGTAATTATGGAATTTAAACCACTTTCATATTTTTAGGTCATTCCAGTCTGAAAGCAGCAGCCGGAGGCCGACCGCTAATGGAGCGAACAAGACGGAAGGTGATTACAGCTCTCTGCTGCACGGTTAGTCACCGAGCAAAAAAAAAAAACTGCATTTTCTTAATTTAATCATTCATAACTCATGTTTAGTCATTTCTTTGCTGTGACACATCTTCATAAGAAAGGAGGATATCACAATAGAGCTAATTTTGACTGACAAACTCAAAACAACAGGGCTAAACTCCTGAAGTGTGTTTGTGCTAAACGTCGTCATCGTTTCATCAGCATTAATATCCACTGTGATTATATCTCTGCTTCTTGATTTAATAAAATGCAGCTGTATCAATGCCATGAGTTAGTTTCATGGAAACCATTCATGAAGCAAACTGAATTGTTTCACAGCAATTGTTTCAATTCAGCAATTAGAGTTAGTGTTTAATTGTCAGTAAGAAGCAACTGACAACTTTCCTCTTTAGATGCAGCCAAATAAAGAAAATATAAAAGATCTAAATCAATCTTGAAATTTTATACATACAAATCAGAAACAGAAATCAGAGCTTTTTAATTTTGATTTTACATTTGTTATGCATCACAGGCACCACTTCTATCTATCAAATTATCCTTCCGCGTGGAGCCACTAGAAATGGTAACGTATATATTTTACTACAGAGCCGGAACAACCAAGTTATTAGAGGATATAAGATGTAAAATTCTGAACTATTTCCATTACAGATGAAGCTGTGACATACACAAAGAGAAGAGGTAAATAACTGAAAAAAGCGTTGAAGAAGAACAAATGAGAATATTTCAACATATTAATAATTTTTTTTCCATATTCTTGCTATAATGTTCACAGAGAGACCTTATCATCAAGAGGACAGTTCTGTTTATGTCAACGTGAGACCAGGAAATAACAGCTCAGCCTGAAGGTCATATGAGACAATGTTCCTGCCACATATAGAAGTTCTACTTACAGTTCTGATTTTTGTTATGAATTTACTACCATATCCCAGCTGTCTTTATTCTCTAACAAAGTTTGCTGACAATAATCACATTGCTGTAAAAATGTATCCTGTGATTTGCCTTGTAGGGTGCATGCTGTGCTGCTTTATTCTGCGCTGTAATCTAATAACTCAAATATGAGCTGATTTAATCCAGTTATATCTCTGCAAAAGTAACTTATTACCAAGATTCTAAAATGAAAATATGAAAATTGCTGCCATTACTCTTATTCAGCATTTGTAGCTTTTCTGCTTTTCCTATGCATGCAGTCAAAACAATATTTGTGCCGTTTGAATATTTTGGTGCTTTTGTGGTAATGATATGAGATTAAAGTCTCGGGAGCATTTTGAAATGTTTATCAGTATTTTCATGTCTTCTTTATTACCTATTATTATTTACAAGGAAAGCCCCAGCCCCTTAGGTTTAAACACATTACTAAATATTTTGTTTAGTCCTTCATTATAAATATTAGTGAAGCTCAAAATGTTTTGTAGCAGTTCAAAACTAAACAGAGACCAAAACATGAAGCGAGGGAAGCAAAATATTTCAAAATTGTTAGACCTACAATTATTATAAGTATGAGTAGTTAGACTGTGCCAATGATATCCACAACAACCTCGGTCTTTCAGACCACCTTGATGTTGGAGATCAGTGCATATCTCCAAGACTCCAAATGAAACAAAATGAAAATAATTTAAAAAATAAAAAATCCTGACATTTTAAATAAATTATATTGTGTTTTTTTTTTACTCCTTTAAATTTATGGATGAATGTCATGCAGCTCAGTAACATGACAATGAGACTTTTAAGCAGTAAAAACTGCTGCAGTTCATTTTAACTTCCACCAGGTGGTAGCAAAGAACATTTTAAAAATTACTCATGAATTTTAATACAGGAAGCTGTCGATTGTTTCTTATGAGTAATTTTGAGCACTTATAAACTACTAATTTGCATAAAATGAGATAATTTTATACATCTGCTTTCATGTTTTTTTATTTTTATATTTGTGACCGATGAGGAATTAAAATATAACAATTGACACATATTGTATCCACAGACTGGTGTGCTACATGTTGGATGTCTGCTCTCTCTCTTCCTCCTTCAGGGTGTGACAGGAAGCTGCAGCTTCCAGGTGAAATGCATTTCCCTCATCAAGGAACAGTGCTGAGAGGAGCGGATTCCCAGAAACAGACGCCAGATTTTTCTGTAACGATAAGTTGCTTTACACCATTAGCACATTTAGCACTGAGTGAATGAAGTTAATTGACAGCGCTAAGACCCTCCTCCTGGTTCTGATTGGTTGTTTTTGGTCGAAATGTTGCATTACTTTAGCTAGTAATAGTAATTCAGGGATAAGGCTGAGGTGGCTGATTGTTTTCACAGATTATCTGTCTCATAACAAACTGCCACAACATGGTGACAGCTTTCAAAATATGGAGAAAACATATTTTTTATTAAAGTTCTATACTACAGCTTGAATAAAATGCAGCTACACAGCATTTCTTGAGAAGTCTGGATTTCTTTATGTATATTTTGCGTGTTGCTTTTGACTGTTGCTGGCGGGGAGAGACATTTCAGTAAACTAAAACTAATAGAAAAATTTGAGCAACCTCCTTCTGTATGTTGACTGTTGCATGTAAAATTCATGAGCAGTAAATTTTGTGCTAGTATCAGTATTGAACCAAAGAAAGCAAACAGTCACAAGCCTTTAAAATTGCGATGCTTTAAATGGGTCAAAAAGACTCAAAAAATTGTAGCAGTAGCTGCATGGGGGGGCCCAATTCTTTTTTTTATTTATTTTTTTGTCAGGGGGCCCAAGATTCCTGGCAGCACCCCTGACTACTACTAGTGGTACTACTGTGATCGCTGTGTTATCACATCAATTTATGATCTTTCTTATCTTCGATCTCCTCCCTCCTTGTAGGTCCTCAGTGCTCAGCTTCCACATTGACTCTCCGGTCCCGTGGATTTCCTCCCTCCTTGTCTGTCTCTCTCTGCTCCCGTTCAGAACACCTGAGGCTCACCTCTAGTCCTCACCTGCCTGTCCGTCTCCTCCGTCCGAGGAACCTAGAAAGCAAAACCGATCACTGCTCACCCAGTCCACCAGCAGGCAGCCAACCACCGGAGCTGTAGATGCTCCCCGCTCCTCCTCCTTCGCCTCCCTCGCTTCATAAACGAGGATCCAGTCCAGATTTTGTGTGGCTCTCCTGCAGAAAAGTCACTCGTTTGAGTAAGACATTTAACCGTGCTTTCCCTGTTGTCTGTAGTTGTTTGTCTCACCAGAGTCATCAGGATCGTGGCACATGTATGAGGCATATGAACCACCACTGGGCCACAGTTGCTGAGATATTTACAAGATTTGACCATTTTTCATGACATTGGAGATGTTTTCTTGCCTATTTTAGTTGTTGTTTTTTTTTTTGCACACTTCTATAATCTAGTGTTGAACACATTTCTCAGCTGCGGACAAACTAAAGGTAACTTTAGGTTAATTCTTCATTTAATTGATTTAATATTAGTTGGGCCTTAAACGCTTCTGGACAAGCGTCCACCAACAATGGCAGAAACACCAAGACTATGGACAAATCAGAATCAATCAACATAATTTGCAGTTTGCTTCAATAAACTAACATTTCTACTGATGACTCTATCGCTCTATAATAAAAAAAATAATGAGGGATTCTCATACCATACATGATAATATTGCAGAAATAATTTTATTTTTGCCTGTCTCAAAACCTGAAACGACTGAATAGAAATAATGCTTTTCAAACTAACATTTTCAGCTGCTTTTTAGTCCTTTTTAAATTTAGAACGACTTCAAGTCATGCAATTGTGAATGTTCTGATCTGTTATCTGCCTCCCCACCTGAGGCCTTATTTTAACGTGAAAGGTGAGATCATGCTGCCACTTCTTTTGAAAAACAAAAGAAACGGAAAAATAACCGGCCAGCTGCTTGTCACGCACTCAGAACCAAAAGCTGCTTTCACACAAAAATGCTCCTATTTTATTTAAATGCTACTTTTGAATCCGTTATTGTTGCGTTTCATTTTTCATAATTTTCACTTGAATGGCTTGAAAATCATCTAGCATTTGAAAGTAGAAATTTGCTTTCAAATGCTGTTCTGTTGGTTTGTGCACAACGTCACACTGAACTTGTCGTCGACTTATTTCAGTCCGACTTCTCGTCAGTGGACAGGAAAAGTCCCGGCGGTTTTCAGCAGAGACAAACTTCACAGTGATGTCAGTGCTTAGTAAATGATAATATTATGATCTCAGTCTGAGGTGAAACATTAACTCTGCTTCCTGCTCTTCTTTTTATCTACAGACGCTGCGTTTGCTTCTTGTCTCTTTACTGAAGAAAAGTTTGACTCAAGCAGAGAAGCTGCATGGAAACCAAGATGGGGAAAACCTTGGAGCCCATGCTGGCTTATTGTGTAAGTAAATCGATTCTGCGTTTCAATAGTGATAATCATGGAAGATATTATTTTAGTACAAAAAAGGAGCTTTAGAAATGTGTCTTGTGACATTTTTTTCCTGCTGTCGTTGTTTCTTTATGCTGTAAGCATTTGACAAACTGATATTTATAAATAATCCAATAAATTAGGAACATTCACAGATGACAGAGATTAGCAAATCTAGCTCTGATGTTGTTAGGATTATAAAAAACATGGAACAATAAAGTATAATGAAAACTGCAATGTGAACTAAAAAGTGTGGCCTGTAGCTCACAATCCAACCTTTTATTTTAACTTAAAAGTCGACTGAATTTGGCTGAATATGATGTAGATCTGAGGACATTTTGTTGCCAGTGTCAAGTTTCTGAAATGCAGTTCAGTCTCATCACAGGGAGAAAAAAAATATTTATGATAATGACGGCTGCAACCTTTAATGTTACTGTATTCAAAACAAACAAGCAAACAAAAAAATATCCTGAATAATATGTATTTTAACAAAATAATAAATTTGTTGACTCGGTGCTGAATGTGAGTGTGGGAAGAAAATCTGTTTCATTTCATGTTGTTAAATATTTATAATTCTGACAAGGTTTCAACCTTTATTTCAGTGCTGAACTTACTCTTCTGCTGTGGACAAGCTCACGGTAATGCCCATTTTTAATATTTTAGGCTGTGGCGAGGCTGTTATTCTCTCAATAACAGCCTCGCCACAGGAGGCAGGGGAGTGACTGCAAGTGCACATTTAACTAGACAAGAAATTAATCAAATTTTGGTTCTGCTTTAGATGCTGTGCTGACTTTTGAACCCAAGTGGTCGACTTTTTATTCTGGAGAATCTGTTACCTTGACATGTGACATGAATGAAGGAGAAGACTCTCAGTGGGAATACAAGCTGAAGAAGAATAATGAAATATATCTGCCTACAGGCCACATAAAAGCAGAACGTTGGTACTTCACAGTGGTGAATATCAGTGCTGTGGTCGTAGCAGGAGCAGGTCAAACAAAGTGCAGTAATACGTCACTGTTTCAGGTAAACCTAAAGTATTTTAAATCACATTTAACCCTAACCAATGGAGGATAATCTTGACAAAGTATGTCCATATTTTTGCTCTACTTCAGATTTTTTATTTATACATTTAATCATTTTACTGGCAGTATTACTGCCTCTGTGATTTATTTTTATTTTTTATTTTGTTTATTTTTGATGCAAAATGAATCACAAAACACAACAAAACTAATAAATAAAGTTTAACTTGAGGACCAACCACTGGAGTTTTTGTGGACAAAAAACAAACTTATTGTTTTAATTGCCTCGTCAATTTAATGATGTAGAAATTACATTGATTGATATTTTTTTATATTTTATGAGTAAGTAAATATATCCAGTCATAATATACTATGGACATCTATTTACTTGAAGGCGAGAAAAAGACATTATTTCAGGTCTTTTGTTGTAAGATGAACTTATTTTTGTTTTTATTAGCTGCAGATAGACCCAAAGCCAAACTGACTGCAGGTTCAACAACAATACCAGTAGGGGGCAGTGTGACCCTGAGCTGCTCAGTGAAGCCCTCTGCTGGATGGAAATACAGATGGTTGAGAAGGACCTCAGACTCTTCTTTAGATAAATTCATCACAAATAATGAAGAAAACAGAGTTATCACTGTGACACAAGGAGGAATCTACAGGTGTGCAGGACAGAGAGGAAATCCTGCCTTCATCAGCCGTCAAAGCCACGACGTTACCATTAAAACAACCTGTGAGTTCCTTCTTGGAAAGCGTCCGAAAGCAAATCGACAAAATCCATTTTTTTCCTCTGATTTTGTGTTTCTGCTCACATTTGATAAACAGTTTCCAACAAGGTTGTCGCAACTCGACGACCAAACTGGCCTGAGATGTTCAGTGGTGAGTCGATCACTCTGACATGTGAGATCCAGGGAGGAGAAACCACTGATTGGACGTACGAATGGAGACCAACCAATAGAAACTCTCTACCGTCTAGTGAATACAGGATCAGCTACATTACTGAGTCTGACAGTGGAGAATACAGCTGCAGAGGAATCGGAAACTATGAACTAACAGAGTGGAGTGATGCTGTCAGACTGACTGTGACATGTGAGTCAGACTGAACTCAACTCAACCTGAAAATGCTTTGTATTTATTTCCCTTTTTGCAGGAACTAAATTAAACAACAGAAAATATATCCACAACTGGATATTGAGGCCCTTCAGAAAGAGAAACTCTGATCAAAGTAGGAAACAGTTAACAGCTAATATCATTAAGTGTAACTGGGGAGTTTAAATGAAACTCAAAATTGAAGAATGCAATGTGAATTTAGATTAAGTTTAAAATAATGATAAAATAAACACGTGGAATGCAGAATGTAAAAGAAAAATTTCGACCAGAGGGAATCTGTTATTTTTTTGTACTTTCTTTTAAATACATGAGATAGAATAACTACACTTAAAAAGAATAAAATTGAAAAGAGGTGATCAGGACAAATGTTTGACCCAGTTTCAAATGTCTCTCCAGCGTCTCGCCCTCAGCCTGTCCTCTCTGTGTCTCCATCATGGCCGAATCCTGGAGCCTCAGTGACTCTGAGCTGTGAGGGTTTGGAGCATCAATCAGCAGGATGGAGGTTCTTCTGGTATAAAGCTGTTCCAAACCCAAACAGCACTTTCTACAGAGCTGAACTGCTTCCTGACAGCATCAATGGGACTGAGCAGAACTCCTTCATCATTAATGGACCGACTCAAACAGCAGGATATCAGTGCAGAGAGGAAGAGGAGAACCAAAGTTTTACACTCGTTACAGTAAAGTAAAGTTTATCTGGTCTGCAGGTCAGTTTATTTCTCTCTTTCACCTCAATCGAAATAGCGTGAGGTTTGTTGTCCTGATCCAATATTTCTTTATTTAAATTTATTTTTAAGATTTTGGAAATTAACATGACATTAGAACTAAGAATATAAACTGATGGATCATTGATATTATATGATAATAAGCATGAGTTGCCCTGGATTCTTACTGCAATATTTGTATTTGTTTATGTGTAACTTGAATGAAATTTGTGGTGCAAATTCACTTTGTGAAGATTTTTGACAAATCTAGACAATAAATGTTAAAGTCAGGTGATTGAAGATAAAATTATTGATCAGGAGAAGGTGTTAAATATTCACAGTTAAAATCTAATGTGAGTTTGTAAAAAATGAAATGATTATTTCCTCTATGGTAGTTTATTTATTTATTTATTTATTTATTTATTTATTTATTTATTTATTTATTTATTTATTCGACTTGCAGAAATGTTTGCTGTAATCTTTGTTCCTATAGAAACAAGCCATTTGTAGTGAAACATTTCAAAGATGTTTCTGATCTCAGATGAAATCCTGTCTTGTTTCCAGATCCTGGTCCAGCAGCTTCTCTCTCAGTGAATCCTGACAGAGTTCAACACTTCAGATCTGACTCTGTGTCTCTGAGCTGTGAGGGAAACTTTACTGAGTGGAGAGTGAGGAGGTTCACAGAAAACAGGACGACTGTCAGACTTTACTGCTCCCTCTGGGGGACAATGACTGGATCTACATGCACCATTGAACCGTACTATTATAATAATGGAGTTTACTGGTGTGAGTCAAAATCTGGAGAGTTTAGCAACGCTGTCAACATCACTATTCAGAGTGAGGTTTGGTTTATTATTTGTTTTTCATTGATATCAAATATCGTAAATATACCATAGACTAAGGTTAAATCACAAAATAATGTTTGTGTAGGATTTTTTTTTGTTTGTCTTTTTGGCCTAAAGATATAATTTCAGGAAAACATTTGCTTTTATGCTTATGTTGTTTGTTTGTTTTTCTCTATTGTCCCAATTGTTTTCAAAAATGTCCTTAAACTGTGTTTTATTGAGGCCTTATCCATATTAAGTCATTTCCTGAAGAAGCACAGATCTGACAGAGGTTTACCTTTCAAGTTGAGGTGAACAAAGACTAGAGGATCTGAGGAGATAAAGTGGAAAAAGACCACAGCGATAAACTATTCAGAATTCAGGAGAAGATGGACGACCTTTTCTAGTAAAAATAAAGAAATGACTAAATAGTAAAGGTGTGCCGATTGATCAGCACCGATCATAATCGGCCAATTTTCGTGAAAAAGTGTATGATCGGCTATTGTTGATCACTGTCTCTTGCTGCTGACCACCAAAACCAAAAACATGTATCTCACTTTGCAGCCTGCATGTGCCCTGATCTCCTCTTTCCTTCACAAACGCGCAGCAACAAATCCTGTTGTATGGAACCACAACGCTGTGAGAGTCAATGGGGACGTTTGCGTTGCGGCGCAAACGTCTGTTTTAAAGGGGGAACAGTATCTGATGGGTGAATGATGGCCGTTAGGATGCATTTCCACAGTAAAACAACTGTTAGACGAATGTATCACCTTATTTTAACCTGATCGCACAGACTTTGCTGTCTATGATAAAATGACATCACACTTTAAGTCATTGACACAGCAAAAAGAAATGTTGCTGATGTGAATATTCTCTGATTGTTTTACAGATGATTATTATGATGGTATAATCCTGGTGAGCCCTGTTCATCCTGTGACTGAGGGAGATCCTGTGACTCTGAGCTGCAGAGATAAAAAACAAAATTGTCTCTCCAATGTGTTTTTCTATCACAATGATAAACTACTCAATAATGACAGCAGAGAGGAGCTGAAGATCTCTGCAGTGTTAAAGTCAGACGAAGGTTTCTACAAATGTCAACATTCAGGAAAAGAGTCACTAAAGAGCTGGATGTCTGTTAGAGGTGAGGAAGATTAAAATGTTTGGTTCATTGCATTCATTAAAACTGTTAAATGTTGTGAAGAGCAAGGTGAACACTGAGGATGTTTTTAGCATGTTTTTAGTATTTACATAAAGTCCCTTTTTTCTTCAAGCAGAAAATGTCTCACAATCTGCAGATCAAAAATATTTCTTCCTTGTTGATGTTTCTTGTTTTCAGTAACTGTGTCCAGTCCTGCCAGCTATTTATTTCTGGTGCTGTTGATCGTCGGACTAGTTGTTAAAATCGTTCTGTTTCTCCTCCTGCTCTTGTTCTTGTGCTGCAGACGGAACAACGGTGAGACGTTTTTCTGTTCATACCAGATCTGATTGTTCATTTAAAAAAAATAAAATAAACCTTTATTGCAGGTGTACTGTGATGCTATAGCACAAAATCCAGGCTTAAGTTTAATAATACATAAGCATTCTTCTTTCTCATTTCATTGTGTTTCTGTTCAATTTGTCTTTTTTTTCTTTCCATCAGAAATTACTGGCAGTTTTTCTACTACATTCAGTATATGTGTAATATTTTAGACAGAAGTCACATCTCTTCCATGCCCTGAAATAAAAATAAAACCTTAATTTAAATGAGATCTAAACAAGTGACTGAAAAAATAAGATGAAAAGAAAAAGTCTAATTTTATTTCTCATTTTAGTAATTATTTCACGTATTTAGATTTTAAAAAGCTTTTGACTCTTTTCTGTCAGTTCATCTCAATGACTCAGTGAATATTTCAACAATGGCAGGAAATGGTAGAGCTTAAAATGTTACTTATATGCTTTGTAATGATGGACCATTAACTAATCTATAAACATGACATGTTTCAGAAGCAGGTGAACCCAGAGCTCCTGTGTACTCCATGATTGAATTGAGAAACTTCAGGAAAAACTGTGAGTTCTCGGCAGTGAAATCTTTCCTCATGTCTTTACGCTGCAGCTGATTTCAGTTCCCATTATCAGCTGTCTTGACTAATTACATGCTTAACTCTGGAGAACACCAGAAACTGATATATCAGATATCACTGTGTCTTTACTCTGATGTTTTCTGTTTCAGGCTCAACGCCAACCTATGCTAACATCAATCACAAAAAGTGGAAGGTAAAGATTCAGTCTGCTGCATTTATCACTCTTTTTGCAAATGTGTGTCATGTTTCACATGCAGTCTCTCTGGTTGAGCATGTAAGAATTAATAATCGCCTCTGCATTCACAGGAAAGCGAAGTCCTGCAGCAACAGATGGAGTTTATTCTGAAATCAGCATGTAGCTTCAGATTTTACTGGTTTATTACGGGATTACATGATAATGTCTTAAATCCCTTATTTTCTTACATTTTTTATGTGTTTTTAAAAGTCTGTACAGAACTGTGTTAGACGCCCTTGTTCAGTTATGCTGAAAAACAAAACTCCAGAAATTATTAGTTATTATTAGGCTATGATGAAGTTTGAATGCATTAAATATTTTTGTGTATTTTTTATGCTTTATTTTACAAATGCATTAAATGTTTCACAATTTCTCCCACCTCTAGTATTTTTTAACCATATGACTATAATTCATATACTTTTGTTCAGTTATTTTATTGTTTTTATGTTGCAATTATAAAATATTATGTTACTGATTAATTAATCACTGTGTGTTTATTCAAAACAAATTCACAGTTTTTAAAGAATGCTGAACTTTTACCACAATGTACAGATTTTTGATTGCTGAATGTGTTCATTTATGACTGGTCTACATTATTTTATGCCTCTTTTTAAATCAATTTCTAACATGTTGGATTCATGTTAATGTGTATTCAAAGACAAAATGTTTGAATAAAATATATACCAAAATATTTAATGTCTACTAGTCAATCAGGAATCTCGTACGCAGGGTCGCCCCATGTTGAAACATGTCACCTCTAATAGAGCACAATCATCAGAGTGAAGGGGCCTGACATGAACGCAGTAATTTTATTTGTGAGAAAATTTGAAAGTTACGTTTATTGTCCACCTTCTAACAGTTAGTTGCTTTTGATGGCATTCAGAAAATCCCAATGAGATGCATCTTTTTCTAGTATCAGTCTTTATTCGGATGCTGGTGTGTTTTTTTTTTTTTTTTTTTGTAGAGTGCCACCCCTTGTTTAAGAGGATCTTTGTTTGGAACCGCTGGGTCACCTGCCCAGGTTTTTTCCATCGACCTCATCAAGATGCTGAGAATTTAAGCAGCTGCAGAGCCTTTTGTTGTTGGTCGTCTTTAGATGTGTCTCTGCACTGCTTGGTT